AGACATGCAACCAACATCTCCAACTCGACCGCAGCAGTTACATTCCATCAGACTGGCGCGGGTGTGCTCTCGTGCAGGGAAGCGAAGCGCGACATACCGTCCTGACGATGCCAATGGCGGCGTTGTCCTAAAGATGGACAGCAGTGGGTTGTTGATTCTCACCGTTGCTCGTGGTCCCGAAGTCCGCGGCTCAGTGTTCGGGTAGTGCCCTTAGGAGAGAATGCATTCGGCAAAAAGGCAGATCGTCAACTGGACATGTGACAAAAAGCAAGATTCTGAGCCCAGTGGATATGCCGGGTTGCTGGTCGCAATTTATCCCAAACCGTCTTGGGCGGTTGTCCTTGTCAGCCTGTCGCCGGCTCCGGGCGATGCAACCTCCGTTGCTTTTCTCTAGCAGAACACGAGATTTGAGAATGGTAAGTGGGTGACATCTCGAAATCGGTATTCTCGGCAGTCCCGTTTTCTCCACTGCAGAGTCAGACCAGTAAGCCAGTGCAGCGCGGACGTATCGTGTCTCCAGTCCTGCTGCAAACGAAAGTCGGGCAGTGATCCCTACATGTCAATGTCGGCCACTTGTCTTGTGTCTTGTGTGAAGCAAAAGACTTGTGGCCTTGCTTCTCGAAATCATGCTTTGCATTTGAAGTAGCGTTTTGAGACTTCAGAGCTCACAGTGTCGAATCATGAGCTGGCACTGTACCACATGGAAAGCTGCGCATGAAGCTAAGCTCAGATTGACGTGTACGCGATCTTGCCTCATACCTTGGACGTGGTGCCAGTGACGGTGGTCGACACCTTCAGTGCGATTCTTGGCTCTGGCGTGCACGACATAAGTCAGAAGCTTGTGCACTGGTGTAGCAGAGGCCTCGACTCCTCCCTGGAACTGGTGTTCCCGGAGGACCCGGCGTCGAGCATTCCCGATTCCCAGGCTCTTTTCGGCCCTTGCGGCGGTCAGGTCGGCGGCCGCTTTCGCGGACTTCGGGCACGACTCGAGCAGCCGGACAGCGCCACAACGCGGGCGACTCAGGCTGCCAGGCAGGGTTCGCAAGTGTTTTCTCTTCAGCGTCGTTTTCGCCGTCGGCAGCAGAATCTTTGCTTGGCTTGTGGCGGTGATGGTGGTGCTGGCAGTCGCGATGATGCTTCATGTCTTTCCTGATATCGTAGATGTGGTTTTCGTGCCTTTCGAGGTCGTACGATGGGGACTATGCGGCGGAGAACAAAGACTCTCCGTGCGGCGCCCAAACCTGTGCGCCACATTGCTGACCACCGGCATCAGAGCCTTTAAGACGGTGCAGATGACGTCACGACAAAGCATTCTCCAACCATCCCCACATCTTCATGGCACCATCTCGGCTCGATCGCAAAGACGGCAAGCAACCGAAGGTACTTCTCAGCTTCCAGCAGCTTCCGGTCTGTGACTCTATTGCTGTGACGGCCCAGGCCTCCAAGCTCCAAAAGTTCTGGCGTACTATGCTCGACACCTCCAGGCCCGCGACACATAGATGAGTACTCTTGGAGGTCTAGAGTGTGGTGAGTCCAGCCCCTGACTGACTTCGATAGATTGAACTCTGCGCAGGTCTAAAGTCACCTGACAGCACGCCGTGCGGCTCCCGGTGGTCATCAGACAGGGGCTCTCAGTTCGCAAGGTCAGCGACATTTGTTGGCGTTGCGGCTCAGGCCAAGCTCTGTAAAGGGCGGCGCTCCGTCCCAGCCCAGGCCCAGCAGACCTTCGCTTCATTCCACCCGCGCATCGCTGCACTTTGTTCAACTCTGCGTCAACCCCTGCGAGGCCGAAGTCCAAGGCTGGCGTTGGCCAGCACCAGGTCCGCACCCCGCGAGGCACCGTCTCGTAGGGTCGTCAGCCTTTGAAGAGGAAGCGCAGAGGTCTCCTGCTTCCAGGTGCCAGCCTCCACAGTACGAACATCGGAAGAGGACGGAACCGTCCCTCGCTCTCACATACTCTCATGCGCCATGCGTGCGTGACGCATCCGGATGCCAGGAGGCTTGGTGCGCCAGATCTCGTCGCGAGGTGGACTGGCACTGGCCATGATCACGTAATGTTGGCATTCCCGCGCAGCCGGGAGGGGGGGTCCACAAACTCGTTGGGAAGCTGGCCGACAGAATCCCAATATGTCTATCCCGGTCAGGAAATGTGTGGAACAGGGGCAGAGCAGCGGCCCAAACGCGTTGGGGTTTCTGCACGCAAGAGGTTTGCTGAACTCAGGAAATGTGTGGAATAGGGCGGCCCAAATGGGTTGGGGTCCCTGCACGAGGTTTACTCGGGGCTGGACTGGGAAGCAAGACGGAGGGCAGGTCTGTGGCGACAAACCAGATACTGTGCAATGCAACAGGGATGGCAGTTTTGTCTTCAGAAACAGACAGGCGGGGCTCATAAACCCTCTTCGGGCGTATTCGCGCCAGGCACGGCTACACCTGCATCTCCGAGCCGCGTGCAAGTCTCATGCGTGGGCATTCGGCAAGGCTCCACACTATTCTAGCTGTCAGACACCGTGACCTCTTCCTCTTCTGCTTCAGAGTTCACATGGCTGAACCTTGCTGCTGCGCGACGTAGTCTCAGCGATCATAGTAAAGCTGGTTGCAGGGAATCAAAGCGACGGTCGGCCTACTGTTGGCTTGGCACTGAGCAATTCCGAAATATCCTGGATGTCTCTCGCAGTCAGCCGAGTCCTGGCGGTTGTGAGAAGGCATTCGAATATCGGATAAGCAGCGGCCGCTCGCCAGCCAAGGCAGGTGCTTTCGGGATGCTTTTTGTGCATGTCACTGCAAGTCGCTCCGGAATGGGGCGAAATGGAGTTACGGAGATTTTTGGGACTGGCAGGCGAGCGCTCCCAAACCCGGAATCCAAAAACTTTTCAGTCCAGCGGGCTTCTAACCTTGAGGGTATTGCATGGGCATCCTTTTCCGCGATCAGGACGTCGCAATGACTCCGCGTCCACATTAGGTGCGACACTGTGCATTGGCCAGTGTTTTCTAGACCCGTGCAGTCTGTTGCCGTCTGTGGAACCGAGGCGTGAGAGTCTCTGAAAGGCATTCGATATCGCCGAGAGGCCCATGCATGTTCGGACTTTTGGACGATTTTTTCCTTCTTGGTGCACTCGCGAGATACGCGTCCAAGCACAAGCACGGCGCCCACGGCAAGTCACAGCCAGAGCCGCAGCCCCGAGCTTGCTAGCTCCGTCGTCTAAGCCGAGCTGGAATGCGTCTTAGTTCGCACTGCAGGCAGAATCCGCCAAACCGCAGGCGAAGCATTTCTTGCTGCCCGGGACCGTCTTTGACATTCATCTGCATTGCCTGCAGTTCGCAGCGATGGCAATCGCCTGGTCACAAACCTCTCGGGCGGCAGTCCCACCAGCCAGACAAGCCGGTCACCCAGACGTCAGCTCAGAGATGAAACGCGGAGGCATGTTATTCACCCCGCCTGGAGGCCATGCTAGCGGCGCATCGAAAACGGTGCGTCGAGATGTCAAGCCATTGCTGAAGGCCGGTTGCTACCCGCATTGCCGCATTGTCAAACACATTGTCAGAAGCGCGGGAGAAAGCACACATGTCTCGAAGGCGGCAACATCGGAAGGAGTCCGGCTGCGCAGCCGATCCGTCTCCACTGACAAGGTTGACCGCCGCCAGGCCGGCTGGGATGTGCAACTTAAACTTGTGGTGCTCCGTCTGAGTCGTGGACCTGCCGATGGGAGGTTCGAAATCCAGACGGAATGCAGAACATCTGCAAGCGACCATGCAATCGAAAAGAACAAAATCGAACTCCTGGCTTCACACGACTTAGAATTCCTTGCAAAACGATGCAACCCCTGCGACAGACTCTTGTACTAACATGACGGAACATCTAGTAGATGCATGCCGCTTGTTGCTTTTCTGTTTTGGTGGCTTGGGTTGGTTGCTGCAGTGTGTTCCGCTTACGGAGGAACTCAGCATGGCCCTGGTTTACCGAAGCGTACGAACTTAAGACACCGCACACGGTTTTGTCAGTCTAAGTGTATGCTTGCACTGCTTGGCGCCGGTTCTGTGGCAACAGTTTTGAACAGACGTGTCAGGCTGTTTCGCCGAAGCTGGTAGAAACACCTTCGCGGCCAGAGTCCGTTGAGCCCGTCGCGACCTCAATACAGTCCCGTCCGCATCACTCTCTGATACAATTGAGTGATAAGGGCAGTTTGCATACGAGCATAACGAGTAGCATGTCGCGGCTTGGCCGTGCGAAGCCGTCAGCTCGCAAGGTTCGTAAGGCAGGTGCGCCGAGCACATCTCCGCAGGCAGGGCAGGGTGGAAGAGTGGCTGCAGCGACCCGACAAAGAGCATCGTGGCCAGACCAGCTACGTGGCTTCCCCACAGACATCTTGCCTACGGCTTATTGGAGGGCTGGTGCCATTTCAAGCAGTTTAAAGCAGCTCAGACTGTGCCGACAACAGCCATGGTGGTTCTCAAAAGCACAGGTGCGCCAGTTGCGGCCCGCATCCCGGCCCAGAGGTGGCGACATGCGACATGTGGGTCTCACTACATGCACCGGATTCGTGAGCTCGCGCCAGATTCGCTGTTGCCGCACCGAGCGGCCGAGGCTCTTCAGGCAAGACACATAACAATGAAGATATAACACCTCACGGTCACAAGCCGAGACCCGTCTTCGCAGGGGCAGTTCCGGTGAATCAGCCACGCTTTCAAGGCCAGCTGCGTTCCACTTGGGCGCAAAAGGAGAGTTCCCCTTGTATGCAACCGCACCGCAGCATCTTTGCAGGTCTCTCCTCGTGGCCAAGTGTATGGGTGCGACAGGTGATTCCAGCAGTGCCGGCAGTACCAGTTCAGGCGCCATCCGGCGGATCTTGCCCTGATTCTGTGCTTTTAGAGTGCAGCTTCGTCGGAGCCGAATTGCACAATCTCGATGCCACACGCTGTCCGGAGATGTCCGGAGGAGGGAGGAGGTGATAACTTGCATTCATTGCGTAGACAGGGGTGTGCATAGCCGGTGCCTTTGCCAGGTTCCAGTTTCAATGGTGAGCCGCAGTTCTCTGGGACACCACTTCGCGCACCGCTGGCTGGATTGCCGCAGCTTTTCTGCGCAGTTGCTGATCGGACTCTTGTGGATGGAGGTACTCGAGGTCGAGCTTTGCCACAGTTGCAACGGCGGCCTATCCCAGCGCCGGGGTCCTGGAGGTGTTGCTGCCTTTTCAGGTCGCTACAGCAGCAGGTTCAGGCAACACGAAGACGTCCATGCAATTCCCTCCCCAGTCAGACATGACGATGATGCTTTCGGGCCAGGCATCGTCAGTCATCTTTAGCTCAAGTAAGACTGGCAACTCCGACATCACATGTAGACTTGAGCATGCTATGCAGCCCCGGATCCCGAATTCCCAGATTAGTGATGATTCGCGGGTTGAAGTTGTGGTGTTCGAACTGGAGACGCGAGTCGTGAAGACATGAAGCCGCCACGCACGGTCACGCACGACTGGCCAGCTTCCAAGAAGGGTTTCAAGCTCTTGTTTCATGCCCAAGAGCCTTCTGGTCATATCTCGGCATCAGCGGCAGTTTGCCTTAGGCCTCTTTGAATCGCTGGCCGGTGGCGCGCTGATGCGAGGATGCGAGGCGCATAAAAAGGTGGAGCTGCAATGCGCTTCCATGTAGGGCCCTGTGTGCCCTGTGCTCGAACCTCGACTCGATCTCGACTCGTGTCTGGGTTTGGTGTCCGTGACACCGGGGCTTGGGGATTTGCTAGCAGTTGAAAGCAGCCGTCAGCTAGGCAACGGCGCGGTACCGCTTGAAACGGATGGACAGTAGTGTGCTGATGCGAGGATGTGAGGGCTTAGAAGACGAGGCTCCAATGCAACACACTGCCGTTTACCCACACCCAAGGCCTGCCTCCCAGAACCGCTTGTGTGTTTTCTTCTCTCTCTCTCTCTGCCTGTCTGTCTGTCTGTCCGTCTGTCTGTGTCTGTCTGTCTGTCTGCCTGCCTGTCTGTCTGTCTGTCCGTCTGTCTGTGTCTGTCTGCCTGCCTGCCTGCCTGCCTGTCTGTCTGTCTGTCCGTCTGTCTGTGTCTGTCTGTCTGTCTGTCTGTCTGTCTGTCTGTCTGCCTGCCTGCCTGCCTGCCTGCCTGCCTGCCTGCCTGGCTGTCTGTCTGTCTGTCTGTCTGTCTGTCTGTCTGTCTGTCTCTCTCTCTCTCTCTCTCTCTCTCTCTCTCGCTCTCTCTCTCTCTCTCTCTCTCTCTCGCTCTCAAACGTGCTCCAGTTGACTTGGATTGGTCGCAGGCTGGTCATTTGCAAACGGATGTTTTCATGACCTTCATGACCCTTCCTGCTCTGGACAGCTCTTCGACCAAGTTGAATCTTCATCTTTCATGATGTGGCAGCTTCAGTTTTCAATCAAAAATGTGACGCGAGTGCAAGCACGTCCCAGCGCACCTAGCATACCTAGTCCACCACGCTACCAAGAAACCAAGAAGCGGGCATTATGCAAGAGTTCCGTTGGAGTGTCTCGATGGCTCGTGCTGAGCCGATGGTCCGCCCCTCAGAGTTCAAGCGACCGCACTAGACGTTTCAATCAGTTGTTGTTGGAATGTAGAGCTTGCGTAGTCACCAGCTGCGCGGCCTCTTGTGCTTGTGTGCAGCAGCTTCGTCGGAAAAGATGTCGCAGATTTACACAGGAATGCAGAAACTTGCCTTGAGACGAGGGGTCAGTCTTGTGAAGCCAAGAGACTGAAATCTGTCACTTGAGGCGAAGCACAGCCCTGAAGCCCTGTGACGCGGCCGGAGGCAAGAGGTGTTCAGGAAGTGTAGCTGGTTCTTGTCTCGCTGAGCAGGTCAGCCGGCCACATCCCGTCCTCTTCGGTGCAGACCGTGAGGAGACATGCTGTGCAGATCAGACAGGTAGAGGCAGACCCGCGGACATGGTCAGACAGCCTCGTGTCACTGGAGAAGGACGTAAGCAGCAAGGCTATCTGACATAGAGGTGCTTGTGCTAATTGAGGTGCCATGGACAAGCCCGTTCCTTGGGACATGTGGAACCCAATAAGGTAGGCTTCGATACTTCGTTTGAGGGCCACTGACTTGTGCCCACCGTCCCGTTGCTGTGACCTGGAAACCCGGATTGGGCTCGGACATGAATAATATGCCAAAGCTGTTGTTTTCTGGTTCGATGTTGTCCGAATGTCAGTGATCGGTTATCTGCCGCATCTGCTGCAAGGAAAGCTGGTGTGCACTGTCGCTTCAGCATGAAGTCAGCCATTGTCAAGGTATGATGAAAGATGTTTGAAGCAGCACGCATGCCATCCCAACGCCATGGATTCTAGGCCGCTGGCATCGCAACTGCCAGGCTACCAGAAACTGCCCTGTCTTGTAAACTTTCGAAGCTTGGTTGCGACTGTTTGGGAATACAGTGGATTTAGATACGGGGCATGGTACATCTAATGTGCGAAACCAGGCCGCTTGCATTTTATGCATGAGCGGAGTTTTTAGGCTGTCATTGTAGCTTCTGTCAATGCTGCCAGTTATCCTTGCTTCGAATCTGGGGTGGAATGCGAATGAAGCTCCGGTTTGAAGCCTGCTATTGAGCATCAAAGCTCGGCACTAGATCGAAGCCCACTGCAGTTTTTGTTGTTGAATGAGTGGCGCTCAGATCATGCAGGGTTTGCTGTCTTTGCAGTTTGCAAGCCATAGGCTGCCATGAAGCCGATCCTGCCTTTGAATCGCAAAATGTGGAGGGTCAGACTTGAAGAACCATTACAGGCTTTCTGACGTTGGCTTTGCAAGACCCCTGTCTTCCTTCGGAATGAACATGCCTATCAAGGAGTAGTTCTGGAGCCTCGAGTCGAGGGACTTTAAGGTTGAACATTCACTGGTTGCTCATATTGAAAGAGTGGAAATGAGCAGTTTGGGCCGTACGCTGCCAAAGGGCGGAATATGTCGGAACGGTGTTCAAAAAACCCCCTATAGATTCCCTTAAAAGCGGTTCCCAGAACCCCTAAGTAATCCCTATATCACCCTCTGTCCCCTAGAGGCCTCCCATATTTCGAAACACTCTCATGCAAGCTCGTTGGAAATAACTACCAAGGCTCGTGTTTGCACTGATTCAAGCCAGCTTCTTAGACGTGCTGCTGATACAATATAGCATTATGATTAGTATTGCTATTTTGAATGTTGTTATTGTTCTTATCGTTGCTACCATTATTGCTATTATTGCTACTGTGACTATTATCGATATACTACTATTTTGTTACTGCTAGTATTACTATTGCTGTTATTGCCATTATTAATACTACTCTCTTTCCTATGACTTCTTGTACTATTATTGCATAGCCACTGGCATTCTTACTAATATTACTGCATTATTGTTGTTATCATGTTTATTACGACTATTACGTCGATTTGTGTTATTGTTATTACTTGTGTTGTTATTGTTGTTCTCTTTTGGCAAGGAGAAAGGGATTGCATGTTGAACGAGTGAAACATGTGGGGCAATTTGCAGGTGAACGGAGTGCAGTGCTGGACAAATGTCGTTTCCCATGTACGTGGTTGCTCAGCTGCAAAGCCTAAAATCAACAGCATGTACCCTCAACGTTGTGAAACCCGCAGCTCCACTGTTATCATAACTCCACTCACAGATGCAGGAGCGGGAAAGTAATGGATGGGATTACCTGTAGGGGAAAAGCATTTTGAGCACTTCGAGCTTTTGTGTTCAGCTGTGTAACTTTAAGAACAATTCCTACGGTACACAATGTATGCACACTGTTTTTGTAGTTGCCAAGAGCATCTCGAGTTTCTAAGTCGCAGCATGTTGTTCAGACTTGGGAGTTTCCGAAAAAATTAGGGGACCTTTTTGGTGTCCTTATAATAAGGTTCCTATCATGTAGGGTACTATATTAAGGTCCCCCCCATCTTCGGAAACCCCCACTTGCTCACAATCGACTGTCGCTCTTCCAAACATGGATCCTGGAGAAATCATGGAGATTCGCTAGTTTAGATCAGCCCTGGCCACTTCTGTAGCTTGCCCGGGCATTTAAAACGCAAAAGCGCTTCTTTCAGAAATTCACGCTACAGAGAAGTTTCAAAGCCCAGGTTTCCGTAGACGTTCTGCTGGACATGAACGACCTCAAGCCGCATGAAGACCTCATGTCTTCCGGTCTGCTGACAGAATATCAGGACAAGATTTGGCGGGTTAGGTGGTGGGGTAGAGAGGTTCATTGCTAGTTGCTGGTTTATGCGGGCGGCCGACGAAGCTTGAGTTGATAGGCATCTGTTTCCTGCAGGAGTGCATTGGCAACGCCATGTTTGTGTCGCACCAGTGGCTAGCTTTCAACCATCCGGATCCCAACGCCGAGCAGTTGAAGGCATGGGACCAAGACCCTATGCCTGATCCATCCTGATCCCATACCTCAGCATTCGGGGGGATTACGTTTTTGTTCAAGCGGTCGGGCAAGTCCGCAGGTTTTGCAAGCGGCGCTGGGCAACATCCGGTCACGAAAAAGCCAAATCCACATCCCAGTTTTGACAGAGCTGTACTTCGGCCGCCTGCCTACGCCCACCGCCGAGGACTTTGCCGGCCCATCAGTTTTCATCTGGTATGACTATTTTTCCTGCCCACAGGGCATGGATGGTGATGCCAAATTTTCGCGACAGCAGGCCATTGACAGCATTGTTTCTTACATCTCTCGGTGCAAGTACTTTGTTGTACTTTGCCCGGCATTGATGCACGTTGATCAGCAGCGGGTCCTTGGCCAGCATTCCTGGGCGGAACGTGCCTGGGACCCCTTTGTTTTGAATGTTTTAGTGGTAGCAGTAATAGTAGGAATCGTAGTAATCTTGGCAGTATGTGAGTGAGAGGGGTGCGCAGAGTGAGGCGGCTGGTGTAGAACCGAACGTCTTGCCCGAGAGCTTGCTGCACGCCAGGACGGGGCTGCAATTGTGATCGAAAGTGGTCCTCCGACAAGATCTTGGAAAACCCTTTGCTTGTAAAAGCTCTGAATTGTGCTAATGGCTAGATGGTTCGGCTGTATCTGAAACTGCTCAGCAGCGTGAGTAAGATTGCTGTTGTGAGTTGTTCAAGGTGTCCATCAGTATCTTATGATCGATGCACGGAAGTACCTGGATGCTCCCGGAGCTGGACACTTCACGCTGGAGTCAGACCGACCACGCATTGCAAGGGTGCTAGTTCAGATGGTTTGGAAGAAGCTGCTATGCCTGTTGGAGCAGGGTGACTGGCATAACTATCGTTTCCTGCTGAACACCCAGTCCACTTGTTGTTTCAAGGGGCTTGACGTCATGCCGCTAGAAGGACTCATACCCGGATTTTCCCTTCATCGCGATCCGTTCAGTGACCCTGCAGCTTGTGTAGTTGAGTGGTTTCTGCACGAGAACGGATTCCGGAAAGTTTCAGAACGAGATAGAGCTGGCTGGACACCACTTTGCTATGCAGCCATCTCTGGCAACGCATACCTGGTGGCGTCGCTACTCAAGTGCCGTGCAAGCTGCAACGAAAGGATTACAAAGAAGAAGCCAGAACTTGTTATCAAAAAGAACATGCCGGTTCTCTCCCTGGCCACACACTTTCATTGTAACGAGATTGTGAAGATATTGTTGTCGGCCAAGGCCAATGTGCATGCAACTGATTATCACAACTCCGTTGCCTTGCATTGGGCAAGCCACTCCAACAACGTCGAAGCTGTCCGCATTCTTTGTGCTGCAGGCTCAGATCGTCGGCTCAAGATGTTGCCTGGAACTGATGCTTTCTCTGTCGCAGTTGGTTCCGGAGCGGAAGACGTTGTGGAGGAACTGCTTACACACAGGCCGAAGGTGAATCTGCAGTACCGCCTTCACCACGCGCTCATCTTTTTCAGCGTCTCCACCAGTATTATTACCACACTTCTGCGTGCAGATGCTGATGTCAACGAAAGACTGCGCATCGAGACACCCACCTGGCGGTTGATGTACGGGGCTCTCAGCATCCAGCACCGAGTTAGCCCATCAATATTGACAAGCCTGGCCTATCATCATCATTTGTCAACACCTTTGATGCTCAGTGTCCTGCCACTTGGACCATGTGCTTGTAGTGCAGCAGTGATTTGCGTCCAGTGTCATGTCTCATCAGGCACTTGATGGAGATATCCCCCATCAGGGTTCTCTCTGTTTGGGGGGAGGGGGTTGGTAGGTGAAAGTTGAGACAGCCTGCCGTGGGGTGATGGGGGGGGGGGTAAGTGAAAGTTTTTTCCTGGCGACGTCTACATTCGTGCTTGAGGAGCTGTCGTTCATTGCCCCAGTGTTGTGAGCCCCTCGCATCGGGAACTCCCTTGAAGCTTCTGCCAATCTGCAGGCGTTTCGCCTTTTTTCGATGGTTACCGAAAGCATTGGAGCATCACAGATCCAGAAAGTAGTGGGACACCACCAATCATTGCATGATGCTTGTCCTTGTACTAGTATAGCAATCGATCTTGTCAAATGCCGCGCCGACCTCAACTTCTGCCGGTGGACTCGGCGCCGGGAGTTGAAGTCCGGAGTGGGTTTTTGTAGGGATCCCGCCCACTCTGTCATGCATCTGGGCAACCCCCGCTTTGGGAGCCGCATGTTTGAAATCCAAGGCCACCAGGCATTATGTTTAGTTAGAGAGGCGGCACACGGGTTAGGTGGCTTCTGGGAAGCTCAACGGCGGGCTCCCGCCGTTGAACTTCCTGAACCTGTTCGCGGCACCTTTCGTCCCTACTGAAGTGGCCTTGAAAGGCAAACCACCCCTGTCTGGAGCCTAGAACTGTCGTTTACTCCGTGACTATTGACCCCCGACCATTCCCGAAGCGCTCCCAAACCCACCGGTGGGGGAACGGGTCGCTGACTCCCTACGGTCGCCGGTCGCAGACGACCCAGACTACGGGGAAGCACCGCTGGGGAGAGAGAAAAAGGACCTTCAGGAAGCGCATCTTTCAGTTCTTGTGCCTGGCAGCCTGCGGGGCACGTTGAGGGACGTCCATAAGTGAATTTTCACTTTTCGACCCGTCCCCCCGAAGAAACATGGGGGATATGGAGATGTCCACTGCTTGGCATATCCGTAACCCTTGACTTGTGCCGGATGATGTCGCAATGCTGCTGAAATCTCTCTCTCTCTCTCTCTCTCTCTCTCTCTCTATGGCATATGTCCCACGTTTTTGTTTGCAGTAAGCATGCCACACCAAGCATGCCCACGAAGGCACTAATGCTTGTTTGGAAGCTACCAAGAAGACAGGCTTTTGTTCTGCACGACTCCAAGATTGCACAAGGCAGATTCTTGTACAGAAACCCCGATGACCCGTGTCCGTAAGGAATGGCTGCTTCGGAGCATCCCGCCTTCTGCTCCAAGCCCGTGTTGCCGGCTGTGTTGCCAAAACTTAGCGTTACGAGGGTGCTGGCGTTTCATTAGGTCCCCTGGTTCACTCTCATGTTTCTGCCGGCCTCTTCTTTTGGCTGTATGAGGGTCACATCGCTCTCTCGCCATCATAGGCCACAGCTCTCCTTGCTTCAGTGTTCCATGCCAGGTGCGGATGTGACTCTGCGCAACAGCCGTGGGAAGACGGCAGCTGATTTGGCGAAGCAGGCCAGACGTCAGAGTGACGGGGCTCCTGGTCAATGAACGCTCAGACTTTGCATGCCCTGCGCTCCTCTGAAGGTACAAGCTCCGGAGAGCATCATCGCGCTTATAGAGCAATGTCCATCAGTTTCAAGTGAACATATCCTTCAAGATGAGGACTTCGTGTCAATCTAGCGGTGCTGCCTCAAGTGCATCTTCATGGCTCTTGAGTGTCTTATACGTGCATCAGGGCCGTGTGTCTGTGTGTGCGTGTGTGTGCTGCAACGCAGAGTAAATGATGCATCCTGTATTCTTTGCTACTTGGAGCTGCGCATGCTAGAAGAGCTCGTTCCTTCGCGCGTGTCCCACGCAAATGATTCTCCTTGAGCATCATTCGCATAAGCTTCACATGTAGCAACAACTTGCCTCGTCCGCAAATGAAACAAAGCTGTAACCTGTTTGAGCTGATCCTCTGAAGGGCCAGGCTTCGGATACAACATTCTTGCTTTGTTCAATTGTTTGCATGCCCGAGGCGTGCCCGACAGTTGAAGAGCGGATTGCGGAGCAATCTGTGCGAGAAATTTTTGGTCTGTTAGGTTCTGACTCTTTTGTATTCTTTGCCACTTGGAGCTGCGCATGCTGGTCCTCCTTCTGTGTCCCACGCAAATGGTTCTCCTTGCGAGCTTCACATGTAGCGACAAGTTTCCTCCTCCGCCAATGAACCTGCTGCTGTCACCTCTTTGATCTGAATCTCCGAAGGGCCAGGCTTCGCATCCGAAACTCTTGCTTTGTTCAGTTGTTTGCATGCCCAAGGCATGCTAGACAGTTGAAGGTGAGGGCGTTCCCAGGACAGCTAAGTAATGTACAAAGGCCCGTGCCGGTGGTGTTGAGCATGCGGCAACGCTGCTTCTGACCGTTTAGGATCCTTTAATATCGTACCTCAGAACTTGGACCCCAACAATCCTCCCTGAACCCGAAACCCCACATCCTAATCTTCAATCCTGATACCCAGTACACCCTAAGACACCAATCGATTGGCTGCTCATCTTGGGTTGATGGGGTTTGAGTCAGGAGGGTTTTGGGGTTTTGCAGGGTTTAGTTTCGTTTTTTTTGCGCCGTGTGTGTAGGATTTAGGGCTTCGGCGGGCTAAAGGCCTATAGGGTTTAGGAGTTTTGGGGCCTGTAGTATGAATTGAATCGGCGTCAAGGGTTTGGAGTTTGGCGAGACATGTCTCCTGTCCGTGACAGCCCCTAGTATGACCAGACGAAACGCCCAAAGCCTCAAAACGTCCTTAGCCACCTCTAGATGTGTTGCAAGTAGGGCTGGCAAGACCCAACAAAATCCCGGCGACGGGCCTTGCTCTCCGGCCCTTCATCCTAAGTCCTTTGTCACACTTTTCTGGGGGGAGAGGGGTAGGGGATGGGGGTTTCGGGGTTTGCAGAGCAGAAGTTGAACAACTGCCAAGGGAGCCGGAGCTTTCAACGGCAACATGTTCATTACGAGGCCCTTAAAGCGAGATTCCCCCACCGAGCCGTGAAGTATGCCTGAGAGCCTGGTCAGTGTTGGAAGCTAGTTGGAAATTGCTTTCAAGTTTAGTATGATTCTGGGATGCGGTCGTTGGTTTTGAGTTTTCGCCAATGAACCTGTGACTGAAACTCAGATTGCAAAAAGTTCTGTGATGCATGCAAAGGAAAGTTGAGTGGGAACCGCTTACCGTACAAGATATAATCATAATCCCGAACCAAGCGTCCGGAAGCACGTGGAAAACCGCATTGGGCTCGGACATGAACAACATGCCAAAGCTGTTGTCTTTTGGTTTGATGTTGTCCGAATGTCAGTGATGGGTTATCTGCAGCCATTGTCAAGGTATGATGCAGATGTTTGAGGCAGCACGCATGCCATCCGAGCGCAATGGATACTAGGCCGCTGACATCGCAACTGCCAGGCCACTTGAAGCTGCGCTGTCTTGTAAACTTTCGAAGCTTGGCTGACTGCTTGGGAATACCGTGGATTTAGATACGGGGTATGGTACATTTAATGTGCGAAACCAGGCAGCTTGCATTTTATGCATGAACGGAGCTTTTAGGCTGTCATTGTAGCTTCTGTTAATGCTGCCAGTTATCTTTGCTTCGAATCTGGGGTGGAATGCGAATGAAGCTCCGGTTTGAAGCCAGCTTGCTGCTATTGAGCATCAAAGCTTGGCATTAGATCGAAGCCCACTGCAGTTTTGTTGTTGAATGAGTGGCGCTCACATCGTGCAGGGTGTCTTTGCTGTTTGCAAGTCATAGGCTGCCATGAAGCCGGTTCGCAGGATTTTGCCCTTGAATCGCAAAATTTGGAGGGTCAGACTTTAAGAACCATTACAGGCTTTCTCACATTGGCTGTGCAAGACTCCTGTCTTCCTGCGGAATGAACATGCCTATCAAGGAGTAGTTCTTGAGCCTCGAGGGACTTTAAGGTTGAACATTCACTGGTTGCTCATATTGAAAGAGTGGAAATGAGCAGTTTGTGCCGTACGCTCCCAAAGGGCGGACTATGTCGGAATGGTGTTCAAAATACCCCCTATAGATTCCTTTAAAAGCGGTTCCCAGAACCCCTAAGTACTCCCTATATCACCCTCTGTCCCCCAGAGGCCTCCCATATTTCGAAAACACTCTCATGCAAGCTCGTTGGAAATAACTACAAGGCTCGTGTTTGCACTGATTCAAACCAGCTTCTTAGACGTGCTGCTGATACAATATAGCAATATGATTAGTATTGCTATTTTGAATGTTGTTATTGCTCTTATTGTTGCTACTATTATTGCTATTATTGCTACTGTGGCTATTGTTGATATACTACTATTTTGTTGCTGCTAGTATTACTATTGCTGTTATTACCATTATTACTACTACTCTCTTTCCTATGACTTCTTGTACTATTATTGCATAGCCACTGGCATTCTTACAATTATTACTGTATTATTATTGTTATCATGTTTATTACGACTATTACGTCGATTTGTCTTAGTGTTATTACTAGTGTTGTTATTGTTGTTCTCATGATTGTTATTACTGTTAAATGGCAAACCAGCTTTTGGCAAAGAGAGAGAATTGCATGTTGGACGAGTGAAACATGGAGGGCAATTTGCAGGTGAACGAAGTGCAGCGCTGGACAAATGTCGTTTCCAATGTACGTGGTTGCTCAGCTGCAAAGCCCAAGATCAACAGCATGTACGCTCAACGTTGTGAAACCCGCAGCTCCACTGTTATCATAACTCCACTCACAGATGCGGGAGCGGCCGGGAAAGTAATGGATGGGATAACCTGTAGGGGAAAAGCATTTTGAGCACTTCGGGCTTTTGTGTTCAGCTGTGTAACTTTAAGAAGAATTCCTACGGTACACAATGTATCCATACTGTTTTTGTATTGGCCAAGAGCATCTCGAGTTCCTAAGTCGCAGCATGTTGTTCAGACTTGGGAGTTTCCGAACATAATTAAGGGTACCGTTTTGGTGTCCTTATAATAAGGATCCTATCATGTAGGGTACTATGTTAAGGCCCCTCCATCTTCGGAAACCCCCACTTGCTCACAATCGACTGTCGCTCTTCCAAACATGCATCCTGGAGAAGTCATGGAGATTCGCTAGTCTAGATCAGCGCTGGCCACTTCGGTAGCTTGCCCGGGCATTTAAAGCGCAAAAGCGCTTCTTTCAGAAATCCAGGCTACGGAGAAGTTTCAAAGCCCAGGTTTCTATAGACGTTCTGCTGGACATGAGCGACCTCAAGCCGCATGAAGACCTCATGTCTTCCGGTCTGCTGACAGATTATCAGGACAAGATTTGGCAGGTTAGGTGGTGGGGTAGAAAGGTTCATTGCTGGTTGCTGGTTTATGCGGACGGCCGACGAAGCTTGAGTTGATAGGCATGTGTTTCCTGGAGGAGTGCATTGGCAACGCCATGTTTGTGTCGCACCAGTGGCTAGCTTTCAACCATCCGGATCCCAACTCCGAGCAGTTGAAGGCATGGGACCAAGACCCTATGCCTGATCCATCCTGATCCCACACCTCAGCATTCGGGGGGATTAGGTTTTTGTTCAAGCGGTCGAGCAAATCCGCAGGTTTTGCAAGCGGCGCTGGGCAACATCCGGTCACGAAAAAGCCAAATCCACATCCCAGTTTTGACAGAGCTGTACTTCGGCCGCCTGCCTACGCCCACCGCCGAGGACTTTGCCGGCCCATCAGTTTTCATCTGGTATGACTATTTTTCCTGCCCACAAGGCATGGATGGTGATGCCAAAATTTCGCGACAGCAGGCCATTGACAGCATTGTTTCTTACATCTCTCGGTGCAAGTACTTTGTTGTACTTTGCCCGGCATTGATGCACGTTGATCAGCAGCGAGTCCTTGGCCAGCATTCCTGGGCGGAACGTGCCTGGGACCCCTTTGCTTTGAATGTTTTAGTGGTGGTGGTGGTGGTGGTGGTGGTGGTGGTGGTGGTGGTGGTGAAAGTAGTAGTAGTAGTAGTAGCAGTAGTAGTAGTAGTAGCAGTAGTAGTAGTCGTCGTCGTCGTCGTAGTAGTAGTAGTAGCAGTAGCAGTAGTAGTAGTAGTAGTAGTAGTAGTAGTAGTAGTAGTAGTAGTAGTAGTAGTAGTAGTAGTAGCAGAATGAGCAGAAGTAGCAGAAGTAGTATTAGTAGTAGCACTAGTAGTAGTAGCAGCAGTAGCAGTAGTAGTAGGAGTAGTAGGAGTAGTACGAGTAGTAGGAGTAGTAGGAGTAGTAGGAGTAGTAGGAGTAGTAGGAGTAGTAGGAGCAGTAGGAGTAGCAGTAGTCGTAGTAGTCGTAGTAGTCGTAGTAGTCGTAGTAGTCGTAGTAGTCGTAGTAGTCGTAGTAGTCGTAGTAGTCGTAGTAGTAGTAATCTTGGCAGGTATGTGAGTGAGAGGGGTGCGCAGAGTGAGGCGGCTGGTGTAGAACCGAACGTCTTGCCCGAGAGCTTGCTGCACGCCGGGACGGGGCTGCAATTGTGATCGAAAGTGGTCCTCCGACTAGATCTTGGAAAACCCTTTGCTTGTAAAAGCTCTGAATTGTGTTAATGGCTAGATGGTTCGGCTGAATCTGAAACTGCTCAGCAGCGTGAGTAAGATTGCTGTTATGAGTTGTTCAAGGTGTCCACCAGTATCTTATGATCGATGCACGGAAGTACCTGGATGCTCCCGGAGCT